AGCTAAATCCCTGGCCCCCCAAGTTGGTTTTTCTACAGTCTGCAGCTACATGGACCTTTCCTTTGCAAGTCATTTCCCTGCTTCACAGGCACCTTAATAAGATAAAAATTCCAACAATTTCTAAAGATCCTCAAGGGAAACTTTACCGTCACTTCTTTCCTTCACTCTTTCATGTATGCATATCATCATGGTTTCTTTTAGAAATTTCCATCGTGGGTGGAAAGAAACTAAGTCTCCCCGGGCAGTTTAGATCCTTTCCCTATGAATAGTGAAGAACAGTGGTTCATAAGGAGGACGACAGTCCACAGCCACTGTTGGTTCATGAGTGCCCCTACTTTCCAAAAGTCACCCCACAGCACTTCCTGTTTCTTAGTAAGTTCTTCATTTCCAGCAGGTTATCCTTTTTTGTTCCAAAAATGAGATTTACATTAAAACCCACCCAGTGACTGCTGAGGTCCAGAAAGAATGAGTGATGGCTCCGGGACAAGGGTGTTTTCGTTGGCCTGATAGGTGGTGCTCTGGAGGCACAAGCTTGCCACCATTCTAGAGCCACCTCTCTGCCCCCTGGAGGGGGGTTGCATCCATGTTCCAAGCAAAGGACAGCACGCTGGGGACAAGAGCAGGTGGGCACTGGGCAAACGTGTGAGCCCAGTGTGTGGCTTTCCATCTCATTCCCAGGCTTCAGGCCTCTCTCCAGAGGGACAGCATGCTGTGTGCCCGCAGGACAAGGCGAGGAGTTCTTGGGCTGAATAACCAGTCCTCAGCCCCTGGTTTCTGGACAATTCAAGCAAGGATGTGAAACTCAGTGCTGGAGAATGTCACTAAAACTGTACTGCATGTGCTTCTCACCTCTTTGCGGGTGCTAAGGAGCCTGGAAGGAAGTGGCTCTGTTTGGATCCAGACAAAGCAGTGCCCACCTGGGTATGGAGTGTGATAAGCCCCCTAGGAGAGCTTTCAGGAAGATAACACCGTGTGCTTAGCCAGCAGTCTTCCCCAGGGCTTCTGCTGCTGCCATGGTATCTCCTTCCTCAGAGAAGACCTGCAGGCTCTCCCTGGAGACTTAGAGCTGTACTGTTGCCATTCTACAGAGCTAGAGACTGAGGCTGGATTTGAAAGTGCAACAGAGTGAAGTTTTGGAGCTAGCCTGGGCTGGGGCTATGCTCAGAACTCTGGGCCTTGGCTGGGGAGTGAGTTAGGCAGAGAAGCAGAACCCAAAGGGGTGTGTGGCAAGGTTTGTGCCACTCCGGCTGAGTGTGCAACCTTAGCTGAACTTCTTCTGTTGCTAAGAACCCAAGTGGCTCTAGGACTTCCAGGACAGGATTTTAATCCCCACTATGGCAGTCCCTAGTTGAGTGACCTCAGCCAAAGGAAGTGGGAAATAAATTATGGGGTGGCTAAATGTGCCAAGCAGTGTGTTTGCACTGGAGCTTGTCTGTCTGACCCCAAGGCCCATTTCCTCTCCCCGTGAGCATCTGTCCTACACTCATGCCCATTTGGTTCTGGAAGTCAGTTTCATTCTTTAGACCTCAATTCCTCTTCAGGAAAATGGAGTAATCTCTGTCTTGTGACTTCATTAGGTGATGGTGAGATTAATGTGAAATAGCATGTGAAGAACACTCTCTAATATTGAGTGTATGATAAATAGGTAATTTTCAGACTCAACTGATCTTTTGGCTAGCCAAAGGAGATTTTTTTAAATACTGATTATTGAGGGTCTGATTCAGTGGCCATGAGAACCTATGTCTTTAAAACATCCCCATGTTCAGGAGATTTCTGAAACAGCTTCTGTTTGTAGGTGCAGGGCATGAATACTATTTCCCCAGATCTTGGGTATGCCAGCACTTTGCATTCCCTTTCTTGCCCCAAGAAGATGTGGGCAGCCCTGGTCAGCCTGCAATCTCTACCCCTGAAGTTTCCCATTCTGTTCTGCTGATATAATTTGGCTGCCTCTCAGCCAAAGACCCAGGGAAGGGGGAGAGGGGTGGGAGAGAAAAGGATCTGATCCAATGTATAAATTGCCTTTAGGTACCCATACCTGGTGAGCTAGCATGGAGCTGTCCAAGCCACAGGGTAGAGAACCAGCCAGAGTTTGAGTAAGCAGATGAAGTATCCAGGTGGTATCTTACCCTTCTGCCTTTGGCTAGAAGATAGTATGTGTTGGTTGAATCCTAAGGGACACATCTTGTATTTATGGTACTGATTTTGCCTGCATTTTCCTAGACTTGCTGGATATTTCTTTTGGGAAAAGAGAGTCTGAGGCAACTCTTCCTGTTTTCTTTTTTCTTTTTGTACTGGGGATCGAACTCGGGACCTTTCACTTTCGAGGCAGGCGACGGCACCACTGAACTAAATCCCCGGCCACAGAGACAACTCTTTCTGTTTGAAATTCTCAAATATCTCTAGCAAAAGATGAGCATCTTAGCACAGATGATTCCAAACGAGAGACTATCAAGCAGCTGCTTCCATTGGTTTTAAGGTGAACGGTGTCGAGGTCCCCTCTCCTCTGTTGACTTTACCTTGCACATTCATTTCAGTTTCAAATAACACCAAGACCGGTTTATACCCTGTGAGAGTGGTTGGGTGGGATGTTGGAATAAGGGTAGCTCACTCTTGGAGCAACCTTGTTCCAAGGATGTCAGCACTGGGAGAATACATTTTATAAAAAACAAAGTGAGGCCCACAAAAGGGTTGTGTTATTCCCAAACTCTGGGTTTAGGTTGTTTTTTATCTCCTCACCTAGGATTGACTAGGTGACTAGGATTCAAGGATTCCCTTGTAGCCCAGAACTCAGCACAAGGAGGTTGAATACTGAGTGTACTATAGTTGTAGATGAAGGAGAGCTTTGTTCTAGTCCTATTGCTGCTAAACAGCTGAGTGACCTCAGGCAAGACACTAGGGCCTGTAAATCTCAGTTTCTTACTTGTACTTGTAGGAATATGTGGAGGCTTTTAAGAGTTCTTGCAGTTTTAGACTCCAGCTGCATGAACAATCATATTAAGAGTTCTGCTCAAGGAATGAACCTCACTGGCTGGGAAGCTCTTATAGAGCCCCAGAAAGGGGAGATGAGGGAAGGAACCCTCACCCAAGATCATAGCAGTAGAGGTGACCCAAGAATAGAAGCAAAGCCTCCTCCTGCTTCACCCACCCAGAGAAGCCAGACCCAGAGGCCCCTTGTGGCAGGTGGGTGGGAAGAGGGGAAACTTGACGCCAGTTCTCTGGTGCTGCTGTATAGTATTTATAGGCACTGCTCCTCCAGGTCTCAGGGCAGGGGTAATCCAGGAGGGCAAAAAAGCCAGCCCAGGTGGAGATGCTATGGGGGATTTTATCAGCTGAATTGAGTGAGATGTAGAAATCAGTGCCAATTTCTACTTCCTGAGAGGTTCTGCCTAGTCACACAGCGCCAGGGTCTGGGAGGAGATTCATTGTAGCTGTACCCTGATACTCTGATACTTTCCCTTAGTCTCTTGCTTCAGGTAGACAGTCATTGGCTCAAGGTTTCTTCCAAGCACAGGTATCTTCTTGCTCCAAATTTTAGACTTTCCCTGGAGGCTAAGGAAGTTTGGGAAGACCCAAACTTCCTTGAGTCCTAAAATGCAAACTAGGATCCCTCCCCCCAGTCCACACACCCTGTCTAATCTATTTTCTTGGCTATTTATCTATCTCTAAATCTTTGCAGTTCGTACCTTATAGTCCCAGCATTTGAGTTTTGGGATGTCTGCCTGTATGGCTGTTGGACTGGTTAACTGGTTCAAGCCCTGTTTTCAGTGAGGAACTAAGAGATCCAGGAAAGTCTCCTAAACCTTCTTCTTCTACACTTCATTGGCTCACTTTCTTGCTTTCTTCAGTTCTAGAGACACTGACCTCTCACACAGCTAGTCTGTTCAGCCAGCCCCACGTGTGGGCTCCCCAGAGTCAGGGAGGGCCCCTCACTCCTTAGGGACCTATAGCCACCAAGCTTCCTTCCTCTAGAGTTGGGAATCCCTCAACGTCAAGGACTTCCTTATCTGACCATTGAATAAGAATGATGAAGAGAGCAGCATGCCTGAAAAAATGTCTTAACTTCCTTGGCTACTGCAAAAACAAACTACAAGGACACTCTATGGGTTGAAAATGTAGAGCAAAGGGACTCTGTTTCCAGTGGAGTCCTGTGTTGGGAGCCTGAGGAAGAGGAGAGAATTGATGATAGGTGCTGGAGGCAGCTGCAGTGGAGACTCATATCAGATTCCCTTAGAAGACAGGCTATGCAGAAGCCAGTGTGGCTTCATTTGTTATTTTTAAACAAACATTTTAATATTCTGAGCTAGGTGCTAAGGAGACAAAGGCAAAACATTGGAGGGCTGGAGATGTAGCTGAGTGGTAGTGTGCTTGCCTAGCATGCATGAGGCCCTGGGTCTTGATCCCCAACCCTGCCATAAATAAATAATAAAATATAAAATAAAAAGAGGCTGCTCTGTGCCTGATGTGGAGTGTAATAACTGCTGTTCTAAAGGATGTGAGGAAGAGAGGCACTGCAGAGCGGGGAGGACGGCCAGGGAAAAAGGCTGGGGCTATTGAGTGTGAGGAATGAGCAGGTGCAGAGCAGGTGCATAGCAGGTCTCTGCCATGCCTGGCAAGTTTTCAGACCCCAAAGTCCTGCACATACCCTGGCCCATTAAATAAGAGCCTCAGGGTGTGGAACCCAGGCTTTAGGATTGGAGATTCCAAAGTGTAGCCAAGGTGCTGCCCACTGGTTTAGGGGATAATTTGTACCTCAGGTTGGCAGGGAGTGGAATGGTTAAATAGATGATCACTGTTGGTTTTTTGGTTTGGATTTTCATTTTTTTAAATGTTGTCTTATTTAGTCTTTCTAGGAAGCCATTCAAATTGCCTTCTGGATTTGGGACTGGGGAGGAGCAGGAAGGAAGGAGGAGGGAAAACAGAAAGGGAATAGGAGGACTTGAGGGCTGTAGCATCTAAGGTGTAAGGGGCATTGTCATAAACCATGCCTCCCCTACTGCCAGGACCTCCTGCAGAATTCCCCCAATTCCATGTCTGGAGTCTCCAATAACCCCCAGGGGATTGTGGTCCCAGCCTCAGCGCTTCAGCAGGGCAACATCGCCATGACAACCGTCAACTCACAAGTTGTGTCAGGTCAGTGCAGGGGATGGGGTGCTCGGGATTGTGGGGAACACCCTTGGAAGCAGACCATGTAGTCCCTAGGGAATGCTAGGATCAGAGGGTGTCCACTGCCAAGGGACACCCAGCACCCTTAGTTTCTTGATGAAAGTGTTCTGCAGACGGTACACCAAGACTTAATTGTGATGGGTTGGAACAAATTTGGGTCAAACTGTTCATGAACTCCCCTACCAAGACTAAGTAAGACTATTGTCCCTTCCCTTAAACACTTCCCACCAGAAACTCTGCTCTCACATGTGGACACCATCCCCACATGCCTGCTCCTCCCCTGCAAGTGAAAGAAACATACCTCACTGACCCAGGCCTCCACAGCACAGGGTCTTCACATGCAAAGGCCAAGCGACTTGGGGACCCTGTTCACCCTCACTCCTCCCAACCCACCCCCCATGACAGGGGACCCAAAAACTGGTTGTCTCCTCAGGTGGAGCCTTATACCAACCGGTTACCATGGTAACCTCCCAGGGTCAGGTGGTCACCCAAGCAATCCCCCAGGGAGCCATCCAGATCCAGAACACACAGGTGAGTGTGTGTAGGTGTGTGACATGTGCATGGGTAAGGGTGGGTGCTATGATGGCTTATGATCTGCCAGCCACTTTATACAGTGATTCTTTAATCTTAACTATTCCTCTAGGAGTATCATTTCCCCTACTTTACAGATAAGAAGCTGGGGGCTCTGGGAAAGGTTTTATCAACTCCTGGGGTTATGCTGCCTTCTGAATTTACATCAGAGGATCCAGACTTTCTAGTCCTTGTCTCTAGACAAAGACACTTCACTTCAGTGATACAGAGTGCAGATCTATAGAAAGATCTGAAGTGGGAGGCCCGAGATCTGATATTAACTCTGTGATCTTGGATAAGTCTCCTGTCATCTCTGAGCCTCAGAGTTCTTATCAATAAAAGGGGATTAATACCAACTGCACACAGCCCAACCAAACTACAGGGCTATTGTGAAGATTATCCATGGTGATGGTTAGGAAAGTGCTTTGCGAACTATAAAGTATTACAGAAATGCTAAGAGCTATTAGATGGTTTATGGCAAACTCCTATCTTCAATACTCTGTGCATGCCCCATGTTTTCTCTATCTCCTCTCCCATCCCCTTTTCTCCTGTCTCTTCTCCTTCTCCTTTTTCTCTGATCCCCTGACCCCAAGCCTCATTTCCATTCTCTGAGGGGCTGGAGTGGGGCAAGAGGGAAAGGTGACTTCCCCAGGGCCCTAAGAATGAGTTCAGAACAGGGTTGGCAGTGAGAGCCTGCCGTCACTATGGCAACAGGTCCCTAGCCACTGGCCTCACAGTCTGCTGATGCTGATTTTTTCTCCACGTGCCCTGAAGGTTAACCTTGACCTCACCTCCCTCCTGGACAATGAGGATAAGAAGTCCAAGAACAAACGAGGAGTCTTGCCCAAGCATGCCACCAATATAATGCGTTCTTGGCTCTTCCAACATCTCATGGTGAGTGTGTATATATTGGGAGTGTGGAGTCACAGCAGGGAGTATGAATAACCCACAGTGTGACTGTTCCCTACAGATCTGCAGAGGGTGTGGCCTCAGAGAAAGCACTGTTCTGCTAGGGATATTGGCTACAGGCTGAGGGGGAGAGGTGTCTCTTAAGTGGAACCTAAAGCTAGAAGACTTTCTAGTGCTTGCCACTGCTGCTGCTGCCTGAAAAAAAGAGTGACAACAAAATGGGGACAAAAACTCTGAAGACAGTTAACTACTAGACAAGTGTACAGTATTATTGGGGCACAGAGTGAAAGATGGAGTGGAGTTGGGGTTACTGGGCCAGAGCCCCCACATCCCTCCAGCAGCTGTGTGCACCCTGCCCCCTCCCGTGGGAGAACATGTCAGTTCTCCATCAAGACCCCAGAGTCCACTGTCCTGGGGGCAGTTGCACGTGTCCATCTCTCTGCAGAGCAGGCAGAGGAGGTGCAGTGTGGAAGAGTGTGGTTGCTGGAGGGGCAGCAAAGGCCAGAATCTAGGCTTCTACACATCACCAGCTCTGTGACACAGAGTGAATGCTTTCCTAAGTCTCTGTCCCTACTGTGGTAAAATGGCATGATGCCTGGGGTTTAAATGCAGGGTTTATAAAGTGCCTACTGTGTGCTTCTAACAAGGTGGCAGTTACGTGTTTGTGTGCAGGGTTAACCTTTAGTGGAATGTCGGGAATGACTTCTAAACTGAAATCCTCTAGCACCAATTTCAAGGGTTGTAACAATAAATAAAGCCAATGACTGTGTGGGGGCTGATTGTGTGTGTGTGTTCATACATGTGTGTGTCCCAGGAGGCCACAGAATCTGTGACCCCAGTGGGCTTTCAGCAGTCTGCTCACACTTAGCTGGCATGTCAGGACACATATACACACATGTAAAACAGATACGTACCAAGGAAGTGGGCCCATTGTCCTGAGAACTGTGGGAAGGACCAGGAGTGAAGAGAGATCTTTCTTCAGTGAGAAAGAAATCAAATAGATCATGGAGATTAATTAATCAGGTAACCAGCAGCCTTTTATTTGAAATGAAGGAGCCTCTAGAAGCCACCTCGGCAGTGGCTCTAACTTTTGAAACAGCAGAAGACTGTGGCCTGAGGGGCAGTGCTGGCCCTGTGCACCCAGCAGATAGGACCAATCGCTGTGCAGCAGTGAGTGGGAGGCCAGAGCTCTGCACCCACACACACAGGTGGCCACCAGCTCTCAGGACTTGGGCTGCCCCTGTGCTTTGCTGAGCAAGCACATCTTGAATGCCTCATCTTGTCTGAAAACTTGGAGTTTCCAAATTAGAAATTTAACTTGGAGAGAAGAGGGTAGAAGCCTGAGGGTAAAGAAGAGGTGAGGAGGTGGGAGAGACCCTCAGGGCCTAGGAGATAAGGCCAGGGAACCTGGAGCATCAGGGGCAGTTCCAACCTGATGCTTCTGGTAGCAATGCCTAGGTCTCCTGCCCCATTCCTGTTTTCCAGGTTGTCAGAAAGCCAATCTGGGCTCAGACGGACTTGGTGGCCCCATGAACCCACTGTCTGTGCTACAGTTTGCAGCCCACCCAGGGGAGGAGGGGTCCCTAGGGAAGGACCTCCAGAAGGTTGTATGTGCACTAACTTCCATCACAGCCAAGACTAGGGCAGCACAGGCACTTCCCCTCTCCAGTGGATCAAAATCTGGCTCCACTCACTGTGGTGTGGGGATGGACAACTATAGGGCAGTGAGTGTAGTAGAAAGCACATGGGCTTTTGAGCCTGACAATCCTGGGTTCAAAGCTAGGTTTCACCTCTTGCTCTGTAAGTGGGCCCACACTCACCTCTTGTGAAGATCACAGTGGAGGCATGAAGTGATTGGAAGACACTGGGACAACAAAGTGCTTAACAAGCTCTCTGTTCCCTTTCATTTTTGCAGACTAGTGTAAGCACAACTGCAACCTCACTTCCTTCTACCCTGAGGCCTTGTCCAGGCCAGGGCCCTCTCACTAACCCCACTGCTTCCACATCCCATTGCAGCTCACCCGGCTCAGTCCCTCCTAACTGTCCCTCATCTCTAGCGCCACCTCATTTCACTTTCCACCGTCTTTCTCCCTTCCTTGTGAGCCTCGCTGTGCAGCTCAGGGTCTTTTCTTTGCTGAGCACCAAGCAGAAAGGAAGGAAGGAAGGACCCATGTTAACTCTTTAATAAGTCTTGGGACAATCTAGAGACCTTGCTGAAAAGCATGAATATGAACTTTCTGCCCGTATTCACCCATCCACCCTGCTATTCTTTCTAGCCCAGGAGAGCACTCAGGCGCAGATGCTAGTAATAAAGTGCTTAGCATTGGTGAAGTCCTCTAGCAAAGAATGCCTTCCTCACAGCAGCCTCCAGAGATGAGAAGGGAGTGGTGCCCATGTCCCCAAAGTCAGAACTCACAGCTTCGCACTGAGAGGGAGAAGTCCATCCTACTGTAGGGAAACAAGCAGCATAGCTGTCCTCCACAGACACAGCTGCCCACTGCAGACCACAGCCAGGCCACACAGCCTGCTCCCTCTCCGGGGCACCTTGTTATCCATGGACACACATATCCTAGTCCCCAGCTTTAGGACAGAGGCGAGAAGACTCCTGGTAACCAGGCACAGGAGAAAGAAGATAGGACATGAAGCCAGGCAGGTCAGGGTATGGATTGAGGCTCTCCTGCTACCTATATGATGACACTGACTCTATTGCAATGAAAAGAAATAACAAGTATTTCTTGTCACTGTGAAAAGTAAATGAGAAAACATTCATAAAGTGCCAGGCCCAGTGCATACTCAGCACTTGAGAAATTGTTCCCTTTGAACTTTCTAGAATAGTGGACCAAGAGCAAGCTCTTGAGGTTGAGGCCCAACATTTGTGAAAATTACTTAGAGATAGATGGCTGATGTGTCACTTTGATCTCCAACTAATTTATCATCATCTGAAGCTAAGAATAAACTGACTAGGATGGTCACTTACCCTTTCTGTGTGTGTGTGTGTGTGTGTGTGTGTGTGTGTGTGTGTGCTTGGTAATAAGGATTATGCACTTTTCTTCTGTGGGTAACATCACATCATACAGTCACTACTCTGTTTTAGGAAAGAAAAGGTATGAAGTAAGAAAAGACCTTAGTCTACCATGGATGTTCCATAACCAGTGCATGGAAAAGTTGCTTTCAAAAAGGAACAACCTAGCCAGGGAGTTAGCTCAGTAGTGCCGCTGTCTGCCTCACAAGTGCAAGGTCCTGAGTTCGATCCCCGATACCAAAAAAAAAAAAAAAAATGCAGTACAAAAAGGAACAACCTATTCAAAGGATACACTTTATCTTAATTTAAAAGATGTACATATATATTCATGTGTGAATCTTTTAATAAAGGGCCAAGGACTTTTTATGATCAAAGTTTATCATTTTACTTCCATAAACCTTTCCTATTAAAAAACTATAAATTCTATATTTGAAGTAGAATAAGAACATTGACATTTGGGAGCTAATCTGGCTACAGCATCTTCCTAGATTTTTATTATATACTCCAATCTCTTACATCTGTCTCACCTGATCCTAACTATTCAGCATTTTAAAGCAAATTTGAGTATGGAGTCTTAAAAAAAAAAAAGAAGAAGAAGAAGCTCATTAACATATATATCATGTGTACATGGGAGATATACCCAGGGAAAAATGAGTAATTCCAAAAGAAGTGGTCCAGATTGCAGGTTTATCTGGTGTTTTACTAACAACAAAGAAGGGTAGGTGAAGGCCAGTTGACTCTCAAGTCTTTCCAAAGCTTTCTACATAGTTTTCCTAGCAATAATAAGTCTTTTTGAACTCATATTTCATTTGTTAACAGAGTAGTTCATTAAATTATAGAATCAAAATAACATGTATAATTGGCATCCACCAGTCTGGATACCAACACTGCTGACTTTCTGGAAAGTAGATAATTTGGCTACTCAAATTGTTCTACAAAGGAGCCTGTTCAGCCCATGCATGCATCAGTGTCTGGTGACCAGCAGGTGTACAGAAGCAATGGACAGCATTGGGTCATCTGCCACCTTGGCTAAGTAGATTCTGATTTTGAGCACCTCTGTGGTAAATACTGGTTTTTCCTGTCATCTTCTTTCCCTCAGGCAGAACTTAGCTTTTTTTTTTTTCATTCTTTTTGTCCTGTGTCTGAGGCCTCTTGTCATTTCCGCTGCTCTATGGTATTAGCAGTGATAGGCTTTCAGATGATAGAAAGCTCCTGAGATGGAGGTCACATCCCATAGCCATTTTTTGCTGTGAGGCTGCAGCAAGACTGGGATGCTTTTGTCCATTAGCTGCTGGCTTCTGAGTCCCTGAAGAATCCAGTGACATTTTCTTACTGCTGCATTTTGGCTGAAAGAGGCTGAAGTCTTACAGAAAGCGATCATTCTGTAGCCAGCCCAGGGCGGGCAGGCAAGAGTGGGCAGGGGGTTGCCCCGTGGAGGGGTGAGAGGCACTGTCGGCCCCCACCCTGCTGCTCAGATCCCATTGTCATCCTGACCTGCTGGTGCTGCTCATTTCCATCCCAAAACGCAAGGGCTCTCTGTGCTGCTGCCACCCTCGCACACTTTGCAGCTGTTCTCTGTGTGCAGGGGTCTTAGAGAAGAAACCAGGCCCCCGCGGCCCCACTCTCCACCACAGCAGCCTCTTCTGCACTACAGTGTGCCAGAGTCTGCGCTCACGCTTTAGTGCATCGTCTCAATATCCCACACAAGCGCCCTAGGAGGTAGGTACTGCTGCTGTTCTCATCTTACCCACGGCAAGACTGAGACTCCAACAAGGCAGCGCATTTCACAAGGTTGTGCAGCATTTGAACCCAGAATTGTGCAGCCAGAGGCTCTCATCTCCCTCCAGTTGCCTCCACATTGACCTAAGAATCCACAGCTATCTCTCTGCTCCCATGCAAAGTCTAGGTGGAGCAAAGGAGAACTCCAGCTCTCAGCCCAGGCACGGAGCCCCATCCTGGGAGA